TATTTACCTACTTTTGAGAGCTGCTAAGGACCAGATGATTTTTATTATATCCTGATATGTAAAACCATAGAATTCAAAGAGGGTGTGCTTTCTTTTTCAAACGACTGTGTGTGTGTGTGTGTGTGTGTGATTTTTCAGTATCATTGTTTAAAAATATGTACAGAAATAATTTTAATTCACTTCAGAAAAATGCAGATTAAAAAATGAAGAGGAAAATAATGTAAGATACTGACCAGATTCACAATTAGAGCATTTCTGCCAGTTGAGTGATATGACTGCTCTCATCCTTCAAGAATACAGAAATAAATTACTCTAGAAGTAGAAGACACATCTGCACTGTCTCTTATTTTAAAAATTACTCAAATTTACATGGAAACAGTTATGTCAGCCTGGAAATCTATACAGTATATGTTTTCCTAGGATTCAGCCTCAGTATGAAAACCCTTTTTGGAGTAAACATGTTAATTTGGTCATGCTGTTGATCTGCAGCTGTAAACACCTGAAAATAAGTATTAATGAACTCATTTACCTCCAGGTAAGCATAACTCTCCCCCTCACTTCCCCATGTATCTCTTCAGATGGAGTTCAACTTGCTCACTGACTCAGAAGCTCAGAGCCCCCCTCTTTCCCTCTCAGAATCTGGGACACCTCAACATGCACATAGGCACAAGGGGCAAGAAAGTGGTAAGTAGTAGAACAGATTCCTTCCTCTCATATTTTAAAAGCTTTTCTCTATTTTCCTTAAATAAGAGAAGCAATATATTTGTGTTTTTTTTCAGTATTCACTGTTGAAAAATTCTAAAAATGAATTTACACTTGGATATTAGAATTCTATTTTTGTAGGCTATATAAATTCAGCTCTCAAAATTAAATCAAACCTCCGCATTTCTTAACAGTGCAGCTGGACCTGGAACTGAGATCAAACTGAGGGTTGTTTGCAGATGCCATGAGAGATGTCCCATGTCAATGTCTATTGTCTCCACTTAAAATGGCCCATCTCTGATAGACAGGCATAATAGGCAACTACCTGGAAGATTCCCACATTCAAACAGTGAAACCTTCCTAATTGTCTTCACTCCAAGGAAAACACCATCACAGTAACCCAAAACATCAACTGCAAGGAGGGAACTCATCAGGCTGCCTGTCTTCAAAGGCCAGCTCTTAATGGCTTTTCTAAATGCCAGGAGGATTGGTGCTGATCTCAGCCCAGGTGCAGCGCTATTCCTCTGGAGAAGGGCAGCAACAGAAAATGACCTGCCTTCTCAGCTTTCCTGTCAGACTTTTACTCCATGCTGATTGAGTAGGAAGCACTATGATGGCAAATAGCATCTCCCCCCTCCTTTCAATGTGCAAAACATCTATGCAAAATAATGTTGGCATGCCAAGGCAGAAAGCATCTTCCCTCTAACAAATACAATAGCAAATCAGGTAACTAATGATTATTTGCCCTTTCATGACAATTATGCCTCATCCTATGAAATTACAGACTCAGTGCCGATGGGGAGGATGGCCTTTTGAAAAATAGGGTAGATTTTTTTTTCCAATTATCATTTGTACAATTTAATCTAAGTAAGGTTGTATAGTCTTATGTAGAAAAAGTGAATCAGTGCCAGCGTACAGGAGTACCTTCATAAGCAATACACTTCTTAGGTTGTAATTCTGTAGATACTTATTTGTTAAAGATTCCGAGAAAACTAGTGGAATTTTTTTCTAAGCAAGTTGCAGTTCCTTCAATTTCCTTCATGGGAAGGGGAGTGCTTAAAAGTCCCCCCCCCTTTTTTTTTTTTGCTCTATATGAGACTTGAGTCAGAATCAAATTAAATGTATGAATTATTTTATTGTCTCTACAGAAGTTACAAACTTGTAATATACCAGGCTTCTTTACAAGGAGATGTTGTAGTGGTTAAAGTCTTGAACTAGGACTGGGGGGACCCAGGTTCAAGCCTATCCTCAGCCATGGAAGCTCGCTGGTGAGTTTGGGATAGTCACTCTCACCTCAACCTACCTAACAGGGTTGCTGTTGAGAAAATTAGAGGAGAGAATCTTACGTGCATCACCTTGGAGAAAAACTGGGACAAAACTAATAAAGGGCCTTGTTGATGCATGCAATCCCATTAATGGCTATTCCTGCTTAAGCAGTTAATGACCTCTGAAAGTCCTTATTACTTCATGGAACTTCCAAGTATCTATTAATATAACCCACAAATGTGTATAAAAGCTTAAACAATCTGACAGCATCTTTGGCCCAATTGTCCTTTTTCCTCAACATCCTTTTCATCTAACCCACCAGACATTGATTAGCTGGTTGAACGATTATCCCTGACCTTTTCTCTGGTACAAGGTAGCTGTAAAATGCTAACTTACCTATCCCATTGGAAAAAAAAGCAACTTCTTCTCCAACACGGTTCAACATCTGTGGTTTTTTTTTCCTTCTGCCCTTTTTCCTCTAGTGTCTAGCCTACTTTAAAATCTTTCCAGGGTTCACATCATCTTTTCTCCACTATGCAACTGTAACTGTCTGGCAGTAATTAATGTATGCTGGTAAGGGTATAGCTGCCCAATGGGCACACTACATCATTTCTGTTCCACGCAGCATGTTCCCATCTCTGCTCTAAATATGGACAGAGTTGTATAGTGACTACCAGCATCTTTTTTCATAAGCATGCAAGATAAATAAATTTCAGTTTTATACAGGGAAAACTATGTATAGAAAAGGAGACAGTGCTTAATTCCTAAAAATTCTTGTTTTTCATCTTCATGAAACCGCTGGGGGAGATCATCCATCAGCTTGGAGTTTGGTATCATCAATATGGGGATGATACCCAGTTGTACTTCTCAACCTTGGGCCAGCCAAGTGATGCTGTCAATGTTCCGTTCCTGCGTCTGAGGGCTGTGCAGATCTGGATGGGGACGACAGACTCAGATTCAATCCTCCCAAGATTGAGTGATTGTGGATTTTGAGCCACCCTAGATCTGGGGACTTCCTACCTTTAGTTTTGGATGGGGGTTACACTCCCCCATTTAAGACTGGTGCACAGTTTGGGAGTTGTCTTGGATTCACAACTCCTGCTCAAAGAGCAAGCAGCAGCTGTGGACAAGAGGGCGTTCGCACAGCTTTGTCTGGTGTGCCAGTTGCACCTGTTCCTGGACAGGGGGGCCCTCCAGATAGTTTTACTTATGCCATAGTCACCTTAAGTTGGATTATTGCAACACCCTCTACATGGGTCTGCCCTACCACTGGGGAGGTACAGCTGGTCCAGAATGCTGGTTACCACCTATAAAGCCCTTTGTAGAATAGAGCCTGGTTATTCGAGGGATTGTCTACCTACCATGGTTTCTGCCCTTATGGAAAGATCAGGCAGAGTTGATGCACTGCAGGTCCCTTCAAACAATGCTATCAGGACCCAGGAAGTGTGCCTACTCTTTTGCAGCAAATTATATTCCCACAGAGATCCAGGCAGCTCCCACCCTAATGAACTTCTAGAAATCTTTTAAAATGTGGCTGTTCTCCGAGGTTGTAGGGTAGGATGGCTGTGAAGACCTGTCGATGTTTCCCCCTGACACATACGGGATATCGTTGTCTGGGTGCTTCAGAGTTTTCTTTTATTGTTTTTCTGTTTTTAAATTGTAAGCCACCCAGAGTCATTCTGGAGTTGGATGACATCCAAATCCAATCCAATCAAATACAAGAAACAAATAAATAAGAAATCTCTTTATGGGACACCTGTGATCTGTTGTCAGACTTCACACTTGGGCTTAGAAGTGAATCACTCTAGCCATTTAACCTTTAATCTAGGTGTCAGATAGACTTGGCAGAAGACTCCCAACAGAACTCAGCTAGTATATAATCTTTATTGCAGACAGAATGAAATCTTAACCCAGCCAGGGATGTCTGCAGGGTATATGTGTGTGTCAAGAACATCAAAATGGTGGATGTGACCAGATGATTGAAACCCTGTCCATTTTTAATGTGCATTGCATGCATCACATGCACATAAAAAGGGGTGACAACTTTGCTCCAGTTGTGCCTGATCTGCAGATGCCCCTGGTAATACAGCAGTGTAGAACCTTTATATATCTATGATTCGACATTTAAAGATTCTTCTTCCTGCCTTTTTAAATTAACAGATACTTGAGGTTGTGCCTGATGATTTGGGTGGCTGGAATACGTTTACATAATGATCTTCTCTCTAGCCTAGAACCCCTGGATCTTCCTTTACCAGCTTTACCCCTTACATCTGTCCATAATGTCAGATTACCTATTTTATTGTTGTTGTTATTATTATTATTATTTACACAAAACTATGAAATCACAGCTGCCAGTTCTTTAACTGGTGTTGGCCTTCATTCACATTGAGTTCTGCCCAAGAACCCAGGATGTCATAATGTATCGACATAGTATATGTGCGGATTCAATCAACGTGGCCTTCTGTAATTGACAGATGGAACTTTTATCAATGTGCAGATTTTCTAAGTGCCGTCCAAGATTTTTTGATATGGCACCCAGTGTGCTGATAACCACTGGCACCACCATTGCCAATTTATGCCATAATCTTTTAACTTTGGTTTTCAGATCTTGATGCTTTATGATCTTCTCCAATTCTTTGTCTTCTATTCTACTATCCCCTGATATTGCCACATCAATTATCCACACTTTCCTCTTTTCAACAACAGTTAAATCTGGTGTGTTATGTGTCAAAACTTTATCAGTTTATATTTGGAAATCCCACGGTATTTTAACCTGCTCATTTTCTACTACTTTTTCAACTACTGTATATGTTCCCACCAATTTTTCATTACTGATAGATGATAATTTTTACAGACGTTCCAGTGAATCACTTTGGCGACTGTGTTATATCATTGTTTATAGTCAGTTTGTGTGATTTTCTTGCAC